TACGCCAAAATTTATTGGTAAGGCGTCTGACACCCTTGAGTCAGAAATTACTTTTTGATTACGATCATACAAGAAACTATTGATTAGAGACGCGGATGAATCATTAAATCCATAAAATTTTAACTTACTGATGAGAATATCGTGATCCAAAGTATCAAACGCCTTACTATAAATCCAGCAAAACAAAACAAGTCACTCTTCCCTCACCAGTAGCCTTCTCAATATCGTCTTTTATATGTAATAATACAGTAGTAGTACTATACTGTGACCTAAAGCCAGACTGGCAATCTGGAATAATATTATTACCAAATATACAGGGTAGCCCATCGAAAACGTACCGCAAGGCATTACAGGGTAGAATGAACTTTTCGGCAAAATCCAAAAACAGGTAAAGTTTGCTTCTGGGGGGGACAACTTTTAGCGCAAAAAGCATAGCAAAATCTTCAACCCCCTAAGTGGGGGTGCCATCCCCCAAATTTTTTTAAATGGGAATGGGGCTCAAGTGGCGGGTCATTAGAAAGGGCTTTTAATTCTCTATACATCGATTCTTACTTTTTGAAAATCGATTCATTATTTTAGAAAATATGCAGCTTTCAAAACTTACGGTATTAGCTTGGTAAATTCCTTCAAAAGAATTCGCTGTTTTTTTTTCTGATTTGCGAATTCTTTAGCCTGATTTTGGTGAGCAAAAAATTGTCCGCTTTTTGTTTCGTATTTAGATAGGCCACAAGAAGTTGCTAGATAACTGTCTTGTGACTTGTAGTTGAAGAGTACCAATACTGCCGAGTCTTTTAAATTGATTAATTATGGTGTACTCAATTCCAGAAAGAGTAGAAATTATTGAGCTTTTTTTCAAAAACAATGAATGCGGAAATCGGGTCGCCGAACTGTTCAACCAACGGCATCCTGAGAAACATGCGTCTGGAAAAATTGTTCGCGAATTGGTGGCCAAATTTCGCGAAACTGGCTCCGTTCATAACAAAAAGAGGCAGGTTGAAAATCCGGTACTAAATGAACCTACGGAAATAGCGGTATTGGGGCAAGTGGCAATGGATAGTACGCTGAGTACAATGCAATTGGCTACTGCGACAGGAGTGAGTCGTACAAGTGTCCAACGAATATTAAAAAAATACAAATTCCATCCTTATAAGATTCGGCTAGTGCAAGAGCTAAATGAAGACGATTTTGATCGTCGTTTGCAATTTTGCGAAATAATGACTGAACGAGCGATAAACGATAATTTCCTCTTTAATGTGTGTTTTTCGGACGAGTGTACGTTCTTCTTGAATGGTTTAGTGAATCGCCATAATTGTCGTTACTGGGCTGATACCAATCCAAGGATTTTCCATGAGACACACTCCCAACACCCCCAGAAGTTGAATGTATGGGCAGGTATTTTTGGAAATTCCATTGTAGGTCCTTTTTTCCTTCCTGGAAATTTGACAGGCGATATGTACTTGGATTTACTACAAAATGTCATCGACCCAGCTCTAACAAATATCATAGAGGACGACCCTGCTTACAATGAACACGAACTGATTTTCCAGCAAGACGGAGCTCCTCCACATTACTCGCTCAATGTGCGCAATTACCTAAATGAGACGTTTCCAGGACGCTGGATAGGACGAAGAGGTGCAATTGAGTGGCCCCCTCGGTCACCCGACTTAAATCCTTTAGATTTCTTTCTCTGGGGGCACATTAAAAGCAAAGTTTACAGCACTCCACCTGATACCTTGGAAGATCTGCGAGGACGAATCATTAATGTATGTCGCGAAGTAACACCGCAAGTGCTCCAGAATGTTCGACAACGGTTTGAAGACAACCTGTATCATTGTATGCAAGTTGGCGGACAACATTTTCAGCATTTACTTGACTAATACCGTAAGTTTTGAAGTAAAATTAAATCGATTTTCGCATTTCTCGTCAAAAATATTGTTCGTATTTTCAAAGCTGCATATTTTCTAAAATAATGAATCGATTTTCAAAAAGTAAGAATCGATGTATAGAGAATTAAAAGCCCTTTCTATGACCCCCCACTTCACCCCCTTCCCATTTAAAAAATTTAGGGGATAGCACCCCCACTTAGGGGGTTGAAGATTTTGGTATGCTTTTTGAGCCAAAAGTTGTCCCCCTTAGAAACAAATTTGACCGGTTTTTGGATTTTGCCGAAAAGTTATTTACTACCCTGTAATGCCTTGCGGTACGTTTTCGATGGGCTACCCTGTATACTGTGATATCTGATTTTTCAAAACTAACTCACAAACTTTAGACAGTGTAGGAAGTATGCTAATAGGGCGAAGATGACCTAATTCCGTCGGATTACTATTTTTTGGTAATGGAATGATGTTAGCAGACTTCCAAGCACTAGGAAATGTCGACGTATGTATAGATCTATTAATTATATGCGTAATATGTTCTAATAAATATTCTGAAAAAAATACAAACTGGCAACACAGCTCGCAGTGTGACGTTATTGCAGACATATCATAGATCAACTATAAATTGTTTCTAGACATTTAAATAAATATATTGCAATTTGCCCATTATTTGTACCTATCGCAATTTTTTTTGATAAAATTTCTTTTGCTCGAGGAAAGAAAACTCACGCTATCACACACCCATCATCCCTTAATCTAGAACTAGTCACATCTCCACGTCCTATCCCCCCAAATTGACTCATTCCATCAATCCCCTGACCAAATCAAGGAAAGCCGAGTTTTTCCAGAAGATGTAATTCTAACTTCCCCGTCGGCGTGTCGGCTAAATCTAGTGAGCCTCGCCGAAACTGGACTGGCGTTAAGTAAAAACGGCGTCTCCGGGGCAGGAATCGAATGAGGCGGTCCCAATTCCCGATCGCGTCCGTTCCCTTCGAGTAGCCAGAGGAAAACGGTGCCAATTTGGGTTTAGAGGACGCTCGAGTCCGGGCGGAATTGGCCGGAGCTGGTTATTTTTAGTTTAAGCCGTTTCGCAAACAGGACGAATCAGTGATTTCTATAAGGAAGGTAGATTAAGTCGCATTAGAACTACGAGCGAAGTGAGTTAGTCTCCAAGGCTTCTATTAAGACCGAGCTTTGAATGGAAAACACGGAAAAAATGGCTTTAAAAAAATACTATATTATTGTGATCCTCCATTTTGTGTAAAAAAATATCACGACACACCTTTTTAGTAGTGACGTCACATACTCAACCCCATGGTGCACATTGTACTGAAGAATTTCCCAATATTTTTACTAGATCGATTTTCGACCTCATGTACTTTGGACATAAGTGCAAAAAAAATGTCTTCTTTGTCATCATCTTAAACAAAAAATTAACAAAAAATAAGAAAAAACTTCGAAATATTTCGGGAACTTCATGAATTTGCAAAACAATAATTCCAAAAAAGTCCGAGAAATCATCGCAGGTTATAAGACACTATACGACACAAAAAAAATATGTAAAAATTACGAGAAACTTCGAAATTCAATTTTTAAATATTAAATATCATATAAAGGGTCGGAAAGTCCCCATGGTTCATCGGCCGTTACATGAAAGCGATAAAGTAAGTCATAGAAATCCGTGCGATAAAGAAGGATGGCTATAATGAAGGGGTCTCATAGTCACCGCCCGTTTCGCTTTTCCACAATAAGATCCACTTCCATTCAGCGACCGGTGGTCATCTTTGTTTTCGATGTTTGGCTTTTCTTTAATAGATGTCACTACTTATACAATTTCGACTTCGGTATTCCGATTTGTTAATACCATCCGTTAACAGAGGGCAGTCAAAAGTCAAATATTAATGATAGTATGCCAAAAGTCAATGACATTAGTCGAAATGTCAATGACATTTCACCGCCGTTCTAAATCGAAAGATCAAATGTCAATTGGCTGGATTCAAAGTCATTGGCCGGGTCATTGACCAGGCTACTAATCTTTGATACTATTTTGAGGTAGTTAGACGAATTTGAAAGTTTTTCTAGTTATGTCCGAAATATTTACTTACTGTGCGATATTTCTTGTGCTACAATGCAGATCTTCGACGAGATCTAAAATCATCTTCACATTTAAGATTCTTAGTGGTCGCCCTGGGCCACCGTTGCGACCTCGACGCAGTTGTACTTCATCGGTGTCCAAAACTCTGCGCTATAACAACAAATGTTCGCGGTATGGGGGCACGTCGGTCAGGATATCTTGCACGGTACACTTGACAAGGTCTGTGGGCATTTTCGTTTGCCTCGCCATAAATTATGAGCATATTATAATATTCGCGATTGCTAAATACATGCGTCATTTTCAAAAGAACACTTGGAAATACGGCTATTAAAATGTACTCTCGAAAAACAGCACAGCAATCACTACAACAATGTATTACAAATTGACTTTCGAATACAGTTCGGCTTCATAAGAAACTCGTAAAGTGTTACAGAATTTTTTGTAAGTACTCGCTGTGATAAAATGCATGCATTTCAGCAGTTCCAAAACAGTTTTAAACACATTTTTAATTAGCTTTTTTCTCTATGACCTTAAACTTCCGATACAACTTTGTGACATCAGTTAACTCAGTTTTTGTTCAATTTCACCCCTTTAAATTTTTATGAACACCCAGTATACGACTAATTACAGTTTTCCGATTTTGTGTCACCCTATATCTCATGCGAATTTCAAAAACTTCCCCAGACATAACACAAAGACCCGAGCTATATCGGGCGAGATTAATCACACAGGTGTACCGTAGTTTACCGACATTGTTCACCTCAAAGCACTTCACATGGCGTGCCCTAATTATTACCCTCCCAGACTAACGACTTGTTCCTCTCTCTGTTCCAGGAAGCGAATCAACCGCAGACCTACGCCACATCCACCGTGATCGCAATTGCGGCGTGTCGAAAGTGCCACGGAGTGACGTCAGTGCGTTCGATTGTGTTCGAATACATCGCCTAAACAGGGGCGCGATTTTCGATTGGACGATCGCTATTGTAATGCTGGTTGCATGTGTCTCCCGACGCTTTTGACCGTCAGTGATGGGCTGGCTTTTCACGGCTGGACTTCTGCTCGCCCTCATCACCATCATGGGTAAGTTGGTGGCTAGGGTCTATGGACAGCTAGCGTTTTCGCGCACGCCTACGCGTTTCTTACGTGACAAAAGCCAAAGACGCAGTGACTTTGACGATTTGGGTCTTTGAAATAGCAGAAAAACCTAACCCAACCTATATTTTTATTAGTAATGAAGATACGTGGGCCAAAATGTCTAGCTGTGAGTAAACGCAAATTGGTCTGCCGACGAACCAGAAATACAATTTGTATTTTTGTGAAGCAAACACTGCGTAGGGTGTCCACTGCGATTCTTAGTAAGATGGTGTAGTTTTTGAAACTAGACCATCCTGAAACATATACAGACCATTCATTCCGAAGAACATCGGCAACGATACTGGCTAATACAGGAGTTGATGTATTAGCAATTAAGAGACTTCCACTTCTACGGTAAAATCCACTTACCTCCTTAAAAACAATGTATTAATAGTCTATTTACTGTAGTTCTTTTCAAGATAATAGAAAGCTGTACTGATAAATTCAGAAGGAATATACAGGGTGTAACTAAATAAGTGTAAAACATTCAAGGGGGTGATTCCTCATCGAAAAATAGATAGGATCTTTCATATAAAGAAACTTCATTGGAGCATCCCTTGTTAAGATACAGCCCCTTAAAGGGGGTACATAAAATTTGTTTAACAATTTTTTTCACAAGCACTAAACAAGTTACAATATTGAAATTAACCTGACATTTTCTACTACCAAAAAGACACTTAGCCAGTAATTTATTTGGTTTACCCCATGGTTGTAAGGGGTGGAAAACGCAACCCCTAAAATTTATTTCCAACGTAACTTTTTGTCTTATTATTTGTTTACCATTTAAAAATTTATTTCCGATAGCCTGTTTCATTCTAAAAAAAAATGTCTCTTGAATTTTTTGCCCAAATTAAACCAGTTCGCAGCAAAAAATTATTTTACGAACAAGATACATATCGCCATAAAACGAAAATACGAAACTAATTTATCTAGTAGGCCGCTATTAGCGATACTGACAATTAAATTGGAATCAAGCTGTCAGTTTGTAAATTTTTGAAATTGAAGTAATACTAATTGTGTATTGTTCTGTTCTTAATTTGTTACTTTAATAATTCACTTGTTATTAAAATGGCATACACAAATGAGGAAATGGCTGATATGCATTACGTTTACGGTCTGTCGCAGGGGAATGGGTTAGAAGCTTCTACAAGATATGCTGAAATGTATCCTCAACGGCAGCATCCTTCACATAGAATATTTGTCTGACTTCATCAACGATTACGTGAATATGGTTCATTCAACAAAAGAACGCAGGATTGTGGTCGCCATCGAGAAGTAAGAACACCACAGCTTGAGGCAGCAGTACTTAATTTGATAGAAGAACAACCTACTACCAGTACTAGAAAGATTGCTTTCCAGCTAAATGTTGATCATATGACGGTATTTCGAATTTTAAAGGAACATCTCTTATACCCTTACCATCTGCAACGAGTACAGGCACTGTTACCGCGAGACTTTCCGAACCGTCTTGAATTTTGCAATTGGATGCTGGAAATGATTAGAAGAAATCGTGACTTTCTGAAGACGATCGAATTCACAGACGAATGTAGTTTTTCTCGGGACAAGATTATTAATTTTCATAATTACCACATATGGGCTGATGAAAACCATCACGCTATTGTCGAAACTAACCATCAAGAACAGTTTTCTCTTAAGGTGTGGGTCGGAGTTATTGGGGATTATTTAATTGGGCCTCATTTTCTACCTCCTCGATTAAATGGTGAGGCATACGTTCAATTTTTAAGAAAAGTGCATCCCCCCGTACTGCTGGAGGAAGTTCCTTTGGGCGTCAGAAGGGATATGGTTTTTATGCATGATGGGGCTCCCGCCCATTTTAGTCAAGTAGCACGTCAGCATTTAACTGAAACATATGCAAATCAGTGGATAGGTCGAGGAGGACCACAGAATTGGCCCGCTCGATCCCCGGATCTCAATCCTCTGGATTTGTCTACTTGGGGCCATTTGCAGCATTTGGTTTATCGTACTCCTGTTCGCGATGTAGAGGACTTAAGAAACCGCATTATCGATGCGTGCAGGGTAATTAGAGAGACTCCAGGAATATTTGAGCGAATACGTGGCTCAATGCGCCGACGTCTAGACGCATGCGTAATGTCTGAAGGTAGACATATTGAACATTTACTATGATTTCTACATGTTGTATGTTTTGTTATTATTAAATTAGTTTTGATTATTCCCCTTTAATCATTTAATGCAGGTAGTAACTACAAAATAACAGTAAATCCAGTCCGCATTTATGACGATGTATCTCTGTAGTTGTTCGTAAAATAATTTTTTACTGCGAACTGGTTTAATTTGGGCAAAAAATTCAAGAGACATTTTTTTTTAGAATGAAACAGGCTATCGGAAATAATTTTTTAAATGGTAAAAAAATAATAAGACAAAAAATTACGTTGGAAATAAATTTTAGGGGTTGCGTTTTCCACCCCTTACTACCATGGGGTAAACCAAATAAATTACTGGCTAAGTGTCTTTTTGGTAGTAGAAAATGTCAGGTTAATTTCAATATTGTAACTTGTTTAGTGCTTGTGAAAAAAATTGTTAAACAAATTTTAGGTACCCCCTTTAAGGGGCTGTATCTTAACAAGGGATGCTCCAATGAAGTTTCTTTATATGAAAGATCCTATCTTTTTTTCGATGAGGAATCACCCCCTTAAATGTTTTACACTTATTTAGTTACACCCTGTATTATTCAGAAACATTAATACATATTCAATTGTAGTTACTAATAAACTGAGTTTAAAACGTGTTATTGTTACTGGTTATACAGAAAGATGAAACAAAGGCACACATAGTATTATTAAATAAATTTTCCCACAAAACTGTTAATGTACTTCTTATAACCTTGTACATAACTTTAGAAGTGAGCATCAGACTTGGTGCAGTCTCTAGATCACCAGACATGTACATAATATCCAAGGTATCCATGGGATGTAGATATCATGAATATGTCCTATTTGGAAGCAATTATTGCACTTCTGTTATGTCACATGATTAGAATTGTAGAACACGCGATTGTTTAGAACGTACTGCTCAGTTATTTTCAATAATTATTATACCAGGAAATTTTGGTAAATTATTTTAATGGATAAACCACAAACATACTTGAAACCTTACATAACATTTTTATTACATACTGAACATACGACAATTACACTGTGGACACCCTGTGGATGTTAGTACTGCTAACTGTAAAAATATTTCCAAATACCTTGTACGAATCCGATATTTTGCTTTTCACCGATTAAAAGTATATTTAGGCTTCCAACTGAAGTTCCTCGCTTTCTTCTGACATTTCTAACCAATAATCTAAAGCTACAGGTCTACCAGCGCCCCAAGGTGTACACGGTGCGTCACAAGCCGGCCTTCCGCAGAGCACGCCGAGTCCCTTTCCGACGGGAGGAGTGGGGGGAGTGCGCAGGACGCTTTCCGGTTGGAGGGAGTGGCGCAGGGCGGATCCGACACTAATCAACAGCCTGTGGAGGAGCAAGATGGGGAACGGCATCAGGAAGCAGCTAGGTGGGTATAAGACAGACATATCTCGTTTTCATAAGTTTCTCTTTGTTAGAACCATCTGCAGATGTCCCAAAAACACCAAACCCGCTACGAATGTCGTTTTTATTTACATTTTACTTTTTTGAGTCGAATAGAAAGAAATAATTCTGCAGAGAGAGACTTCTTTTCAAGGCATAATGTCCTGTCAGGAGTTCTTAACTGGTTAACTGATTCCAACCCAGTGGACTTCCTTGGAGTGGTGAAAGGGTATTATCAAGATGATGAATTATCCAAATAGAAGTAAAAAATCAGACGTTATAATTCAAGTTATTACTCTAATGGAGCTCAGACAGAATGCTATACGACTATTATTAAGGCGACTGGTCCTCTCCTAAAACTAGCGTTAATTTAGAATGCGATGCTCTACTAGACTCTAACAGGAAATAGATTTCTGCCATTCATCATACCTCCCTGACAAACAGCTCCGCTAAGAAACTATATTGTATATCTCGACGCATATTAAAACTATTTCCACGCTTCCTTCGTGAAACAGAAGTAACTTTAACTGAATTATTATACATTCACGTCGAAAGTACGTTAACGTTAAATAATCGACGTGAAATAATGTTGGCTTAGGACTGGCACGTTTTTCATATTACAACATATATTTTTCCGTTAATTCGTCTTTGTCGGGTGATCGATCACGTTTTATTTCTCAAAGCATTAGGGGGCTTTCTTTGTAAGAGCATCCAGAACTGAAAGTTTGTTAAATTGATCTACAGCCACAGGTGATGCTGCAAGAACAAGGATTCTGTATCTAGAGACGATAATAATGTCAGTATATAAAATTACTTCATTGAATTACAGTTTGAACGTGAAAAAATTATTAGNTCGTTAAATTGATCTACAGCCACAGGTGATGCTGCAAGAACAAGGATTCTGTATCTAGAGACGACAATAATGTCAGTATATAAAATTACTCCATTCGAATTACAGTTTGAACGTGAAAAAATTATTAGAATGCATTTTATTGCACTTTATGATGGGAAAGAGTATGTAGAATGATAATAACAAAAAACTAATTCCAAAGAAGTGACGCTAACTTGAAAATTGCAAATAAGTGGCATAATTACGTGTTTTTCACTTTTTTACTGCGCATGAAAATCTAGACGACCTGTCGGAGAATTGGTCATTTTATGTTGTATGATCGTCATAAAGTGAAATAGTCCAGTCACTGAAGCATGTTGGCTACCAATTTCTTCGGATGGAATGGATTGACGTGAAATTTGAACTGTAGGTACGGAATAGCCCAAGAAACAAAAGTTATATAGTGCCGATGCGTGCTTTTACCCTTCGGGTGGATGCCACCCTTCTGGAGGGTGGGATTTTTTTAATTAAAAATAACCTCACGATTCGATAGAGGGACGAATTATAAGCAAACAATTTTCTATAAGAAAATAAGAATTGTTTGTACAGTCGATACTTTTAGAGTTATTTGCGCCTAAACATGTTCGTTTTTAGCCCAAAAAATGTATGTTTTGAGCCATTTTTCGCAAATATCTCAAAAGTTTTATCAAAAAAATGATCATAAGCAAAAATGAAGGTAATTAAATAGCAAGGAGATTGCTTTTTTTATTTTTGTAGATGGTATAGAACCCGAGTTATGACTCCCAGAAGTTGAAGTCAATTTCGAAGATAGCTATAACCGAAATGTTCAACGTCCTGTAGCGGAAAAATTAAAGGTTTTTCGAGGAAAGCTTACATAACACCTATTAAAGTTCTTGAAAAGACCTTTAAATTGAGTGGTGTTAGAAGTTGTAAAATAAAATAATTGTCTTAATTTTTGAGAAAAAAAATTAAAATTAACGACGACGGAAAAAAAATTAAACGTGTTCCTTCTGCAATTTACTTTATTTATGTATTAACAGTAGATTATGGGAATTTCAACGATTTTAGAAGTCTACATTTAAAAAAATTTCATTTACTTTTGAATAAAATTTTTCAAAGTATTTCAGTCATAAAAAAATGATAGAATGAGAAATTGTAGATTTTTTTTCCTACTGAACAATTTGCTTTTTTTAAAATTTTTGTAGGACAAAATTTGACAGTTATAACAGGTAGAAGCTCAAAACTAAGCTCCAAGACTGCCTTTCCTGAGCCCTTCTAGCTTATAAATCTAAAAAACGAAGGGCTAAAAAAAACTGCAAATCACAGAACTTAAAGTGCTTTAAATTCCCTACAAAATGTTTTTTTGAGTAAATTTATAACTTTAAAATTACAGAAGTTATGGTAAAAAAATTTATCGCATTTTTTTGGTAAAATTTTGGGTGCGGGTAAATTACCATCATCTTTGTGTATTTTGGAGCACTTTTGAACTGATTTTAGTAAGTATTTTAATAATATACATACACACACGTATCCATTTATAATGCATATACAATTTTTTTTTATTTGATATAAATTTAATAAAAAAATATTAAGAATATATTCAATAAAATTAAAAAAAATTAATTATATCATCATACTCATATACAATTTTTAGGAAATTTTTCTATAAGGGGTAGGGTTTTTTATGAGGGGCAGCTCTTCTATAAAGGTTTTTTGGGTGGCTGAAAAGTTGCAATATATCATAGATCATTTGAAAACCAATAAAAAGTTTATAATTCAACATATGCATACCATTAAAACACCTCAAGCTTTCAATAATACTTTATTTTATTATAAGGGATGGTTTTTAAGGGTTGCAACTTTGTAATGAGTCGTAAGCTTTCCAATGAATAACAAAAGAAATGCAATACATTGTGAATGCACCAAAATAATATTTTAAACTGTTAAAAACTTTTTATTTTCTATTTTTTTTGGCCATAGAAGGTTAGTTTTTAAGGATTTTTAACGGTTGAAAAGAAATTAAATTTCATAAATTATATTAAAAAACATGAAAGGAACTTTATCCAACATATTTGAACATGAAATGAATCTTTAAAATACGTAAATCTGCGATATTCGCATTTTTTTCGTACAAGGGTAGTTTTCACCCCCAAATAGAAAAAAGCACACTTCTAGACAATATAACTTTTGAAGTGGAGGGGGTCAGATGAGCTTGTATGCAAATTTTCAGGAAAATCCATGCTATCCGGAAAAATTGGGAGCTTTTACTTTATTTTCGCCTTCAGTGACTGGACTAAAATAAAATATTTAGGTACTAATATTTATTTTTCCAATTTTCAGGTTTTTTTTATCTAATTCGACCGGAGTAAATAAGTTTAGAGTAATAATAGCCGCTGGTGCACGAGATAATAATACAAAACTGCTAAAAGCTTAATTAAAAGTTAACTAACAGAGTTTTGTTTTGGTGTTCGTTTGTTTGCCAAGGCCTCCCTTAAAAACGCGCCGCGAGACACTTATATGAGAAACACAAACAAAACTCCTCGTGTTTATTCAAATCCCAGCGTCGCGAATCGTCTTGGGGAGACAAGGAAGCGTCTCCCGCGACAACAAATCCCCAAAACACCAGCGATTTTTCCCGCCCAACGTCGCGAAGTTAGTTCCGAACTCGTTAAATTAATTAAATGAGTTTGATAACGGAATTATCGCGAGCATCGAATAAAATGTCCCGAAAGTTTGAAGTTCAATTAAAATTTATGATTCAATTTCTTGGGGTAATATTGTTTTTAAAAGTCGGCTAACGGCGACTCAGGCGGAAAATTTCGCCGGATTTGATCCTCGGGAACAGGAACAAGAGCTGAGAGCGAAGCGACGAAATGAGCTGTAGGTTCAGGAAAATGGAAAAGGGCGACCGATTTGCTATGATTTCAAAACTTGGTGGAACTTAAATAAATTTTACTTTTTACTTTTTATACCTGTCCTGCCGAAATAGGAACTGCTCTTTTTGTACCGATGACAAAGTAATTATTTACACCATAAAGGAGGTAAGTACTATTTACCAGCAAAACTGGAATTTCAGACTTTTCTATAGGTTATCAAGCAGGTAGATGTTACAACTAACCAGTCGGCAAGAATACCCTTTCTATCATTCCTAATAAGATTGCACAGTTTTTGAAACTAGAACATCCTGAAACATATACAGGCCATTCATTCCGGAGAACATCGGCAACGCTATTAGCAATCAAGAGACATGGTGTTTTAATGGTTCAGTCAGATAATATTGATAAGATTTTAAAAAATATACATTTCCACAGGTATTTTAATAGTTCTACTCAAACGGCAATCAATTTTAAAAACAAGAAATTGTTTACTTTTTTAATAACAATATCTCGTGAATCAGTCCCTTAAGGCGAAAATAGATGGGATTTTAATTAAGACCCTTTATCTTTGTCAACGACACTTACTCTTTTCCTGCAATTAATAATTCACAGCCTTTTCTAGCCAACTAGATGTGCCAGGAGCTAAAATTAGATCTGGATATAATTTCGCATTAGTCAGACAAGCAACAAAATAAACCAAATGCAATTAACTTTGCAATAAGCGAGCTTGAAGCGGAACTAAAATAGCTGCAATTAAATACATTAAGCACATCTGAGTGGCCTTTGCTGAAATTCAATATCTGTCAATTACGGCAGTCAGTTAAAAAATTAGGGAGCCTGAAATATCCTGTTAAACACGAGAAGCTGTCCGCTTCGTTTATATCACGGAGTGGAATAGGGAGGAAATTTTAAACTTCAGTTTTCATTTTTCACACAATTATATATTTTTATCTGTAACAGGATAGGATGTTCGGTACTTATTTTTCCTTCAATTATATTCCTCAAATTACCCGTGTCCACGCCACTGCTACTGGCAACAAAATGATTTGTACATTTGTTATTTATTTGTGTACGAATTTTGACATTTTCTGTAGCGTATCTAGAAATACGTTTCTTTTTCGAACGCCTAGTATCACACTGATCTCCTAGCTATCTACAACTTTGTTTACAACTTCGGGGTAGAGTTTAACTGTAATTTAGACTCCCACAGGCTTCTGAAAGACGAAGGTAGCCCTTCGGAACGCAAGGGATCCCAGAATA